GCATCGTCAGTTTTATGACATGGAATGAAGTGTGCCATCTTTGAGAACCTGTCAACAACAACAAAAATAGAATCGCAGCCTCTTTTTGACCTTGGTAAGCCCAAAACAAAATCCATAGATACATCAACCCAAGGTTCAGTAGGTATGGGTAAAAGGGTATACAAACCATGTGGTAAAACTCTAGATTTTGCTTGTTTACATGTTATGCACCTTTCACAGATCCTTTCAACATCACGTTTCATGTGTGGCCAAAAGAAGTGATCACTCAGAATATCTAAAGTTTTTCTAACTCCAAAATGTCCCATTAAGCCTCCCGCATGAGATTCCCTTACTAACAATTCTCTTAAGGAACAGTTAGGCACGCATAATTGATTTTCTCTATACAAGTACCCTTCATGCCTATAAAACTTATCAAAAGTAATCTTCTCACATGCATTAAACACATTAGTAAAATCTGGATCATTAGCATATAATTCTTTAATGTGCTCAAAATCTAATAACTTTGCACTTAGGGTAGAGATAAGTGTGTACCTACAAGATAATGTATCAGCCACAATGTTTTCCTTTCTTTGCTTATACTTGATCACATAGGGAAACGTCTTAGGGAATTCCACCCACTTAGCATGTCGTCTATTCAACTTACCTTGTCCCTTCAGGTGCTTCAACGACTCATGATTAGTATGTATCACGAACTCCTTAGGCCAAAGATAATGCTGCCATGTCTCTAAAGATCTTACCAATGCATACATCTCCTTGTCATAAGTAGGATAGTTAAGTGCTGCACTAGTCAATTTTTCACTGAAAAATGCAATAGGTCACCGCTCTTGCATCAAAACAGCACCAATGCCAATACCTGATGCATCACATTCAATTTCAAAAGTTTTAGTAAAATCAGGTAAAGCAAGTAACGGTGTAGAAATTAAATTTTCCTTAATTAAATTGAAAGCATTCTCCTGTTCACTTTCCCACTTAAATCAAACACTTTTTTTCACAATTTCAGTCAATGGTGCTGCAATTGTGCTGAAATCCTTGATGAATCTCCGGTAGAAACTCGCCAAACCATGAAAACTTTGCACCTCAAAAATATTTTTAGGTGTTGGCCATTCTTTAATAGCCTTAACCTTTTCTTCATCTATTGCGATTCCATCAGCTGAAACAACATACCCTAAAAAAATAATTTGATTTGTGAAAAAGGAACACTTTTTAAGGTTAGCAAATAACTTTTCTCTTCTCAACACCTCTAGTACCATTCACACATGCTCAATATGTTCAATTAAATTCTTGCTATATATCAGAATGTCATCAAAATAAACAACCACAAATTTGCCAATGAAAGCACGCAAAACATGATTCATTAATTACATGAATGTACTAGGCACATTAGTTAATGTAAACGGCATAACTAACCACTCATATAAACCATGTTTCGTTTTAAAGGTTGTTTTCCATTCATCTCCTTCCTTCATCCTAATTTAATGATATCCACTCTTTAAATCAATTTTAGAGAATATGCAAGAACCATGCAACTCATCTAACATGTCATCTAATCTAGGAATAGGGTGACGATACTTTACAGTGATTTTGTTGACCGCGCGACAATCAACGCACATACGCCAAGTCCCATCCTTCTTAGGCACAAGTAGCACTGGAACTGCACATGGACTCATGCTTTCTCTCACATGTCCCTATTTCATGAGTTCTTCGACCTGCCTTTGAAGTTCTTTCGTCTCATTGGGATTGCTTCGATATGCTGGTTGGTTTGGAATTGTTGCACCAGGAATGAAGTCAATTTGATGCTCGATTCCTCTTACTGGTGGTAAACCATTAGGAACATCATCTGGAAACACATCCTTGAAGTCCTACAAAGGAGATTTAACAACACTAGGCAAAGAATCATTAAGTTCGTTAGTGTTGAAATAAGCATCTTTATACAGAAGCACAAACATAGGCTG